ACCTACTAATTTGATAATGGAAAAATAAAATAACCGGTATTTCACCGGTTTAAACAAAATGGATTAAATAAATTTCACATGCATTTGACCTCATAATTGGATACTTTAAAGTCCTGATAGTATCTGTCATGGCGCGATAGACGATAAATCTCAATAAAAAGCTAAGATATGAGGTATATATATATACGGCATTTAGGGATGAGCCGGTGAGTTTTCTTGACTAGTTAGCCTGAATATGATTGTAAGGATGATGTTCCTCATACGATGGAGGAAATCTTGACACGTTCTCATCGGAATCGAAGGGAATTAATTAGGAAATCTTGTCAAAAAGAATGTTCCAGTAAAAGCCAATCGACAGCTGATCAAGAGCAATCGGCCGTCGTCTTCTGGTGGGATTTGCCTTTGAACATCTTCACCAAACACTTTCAACTGACGATAGAGCAAATAAGTAGCTTACAAAAAAAACACAGTCTTGCTGGGCTGTCTGCCTCGCCTCTCCATGTCGTTTAAGCTAATGGTGATATCGAGGAGAGAGCAACTTGTCAAGTGGTCACTTTTAACTCGTCACCAATCCAGACATGCCGACCTTTGACCCTTCTCCTACTTGACCTCATTCTGTTCCTCGCTCTCTCGAGCTCACCCTCGGTCGCTTTAGGCCCTCGTTGGACTATTCAACAGCACACGAGTCGGCTCGACCCTGGGCTGATCATCATCTGGTTCATTTGCGAATGGTCTCATCCAGCCGTCAGACGACACCAACTAGCCGGAAGGCGGTGTACATGCACTGATGGCGACCAATTGGGCCATTGACTCGCAGCAACTCGAAGAACCTGCTGCCTCTGACAGTCGTGCCTCTGGCTCGGCGCCCGGCTCCGGTCTGGCGATCTCAGAGACGCCAGTCTTCAAAGCAGCCGACACCAGACGCCTCGGACTGTCGCAGGCATCAGAAGTGCTCGCGGCCAGGGAATTAATGGCGACTGAAGAGACGAGAGAACACAAGCTCTATTTGCAGACGGCCTCGCCGCATCTGGAAGAGTTGAAAGCATGGATCAGGGAGTCGAAGGAATTCACCTTTCCAGAAGGTAAGACAACCATTTTCCACGAGTGAATTCGTGCGGCGCTTGGACCAAAATTTGAGCCACGCATTTATGCCAGTGAAGCTGGAAAAGGGACGATCGATCTTACGAAAATTAAATTCATTTCTTTTTAAATGGTGTCGATGGGCATACCAGAGCGTACACAATAGTTTATTCCATCATCTTGAAGGAGCAAGGGTGCTGGTTGAAATGTAGAGGAGTTTATGCCTGCGCCAGACGGAAGGGAGGAGAACATGTTGGAAAACCATATGTAGCACATGAAAATAGTTTAATTGAGAAGATTCAGAATTCGATGAAGAAGGGAAGCATATTCCTCTGCTTTGCCCAGTTCCCAGACATTTTTGGCTTTGGACAATAATTTTGTCACCATAACCTACACAGGATGATTTAAAGATGGATAGTGGGAATTTTCACGCAATGGAATTTTTAGGCTTCTTGGACCCTTAGAAGCTCATTTATATGAGATGTGTTCACCATATTTTGTTTGAGTTATTGAAGGACTGGTAGTTAAATCTTCCCATAATGATATGAGTAGAACTGACATTTCCATTAAATTTCCCATAGCCTTGCTTTCCTAAAGGGTGTTCACATTCAGAGTGGACTGCAGTTTCGATCTCGCAGTTTCTGAGCAACACCCCAAGGGGGAGTCGAACCATGACAGTACAGCGTGTTTGCCTCCCGCTAGGCTGTTGATAAGACCTAGGCGAGGTCGAAACTGCAGTCGATCCTGGATGCGAATAACTTTTGGGCAAGCAAGTCTATGTGAAATTCAATGAAAACGTCAGCTCAACTCATATCATTGTGGGAAAAATCGACTATAAGTCGCTCATCACCTTAAACGAAATAGGGTGAACACAACTCATATGTCTTACTAGTGTGGATAAATAAATATATATAGACAGAAATAAATATAGAAGTGGGTTGACCTCGTTTTCTCAACTTGGTCTTGTTACCAGGGCGACTTAGTAGAACGCACCGAGTCCGAAGTCGTCTGCCATAGTAGTTGTCATGTTTCCCAGCATCAGACAGTGGACTTGGTACATTCTCAAACGTTTCGCCGGCATCGTAGTCGGCATCATTAGTGAGTTTTGCCATTCTCGGCACCAAGCGACGAACTCGTCAAAGAGACAAGTGAAGTCAATCCCTCGAGAAACATTCTGCCGAAAACTGTTACACTATCACTCCTCTTTCTGTCCTGGCCTATCTATCTACTCTTTACCCTCTACTCCCACTACCGTCCTATCACAACTTCTCACTTGTTTACTTTGAACTCGTCAAAATGTGTGCCCTTTTGTGGCAAACCGAGTGTGACCTCATCACACGTTATAGTTACTTCTCTTTCGATTGGCTTATCCGACTCAGGCCTCCAATCCGGATCTTTTCATTGTCTCGTAGATCCGTTCCTTATCTTTCTGGTTGACCGATTTCACT